GAAAGAATCAACCTTAAATGACCTACAACGGTCATGGCTTCCCATCGATGGTTTACCCTTACCATCGCTGGGTTCCCATCGATCGGATTGGTCTCCCATCGCTTGTGATAATTTTGCACCAGGGCTTTAACAGCGATGGGTAGAACTCCCCATCGCTGTTTGGCATGGTTCTGGAAACTGGTTTGGCTGAGGGGCCGCTTACCCATCGATGGGAAGATCTTCCCATCGCTGGGTGGGTGGTTAGTCAAGAACCCATGGTTTTTGCCTTAACCACGGCCTAGCTAACCGATGCGAAACTCGACCGAAAAACTCAAAGTTCTCCAAAATAAAAACCAAGTGTTTAAAACACTTATTTGATGTATTTGGCTAAGAAATCAAGTGAGACACTTTAAAAACCACATCATTTGAGTGAAAACCACGGCTAGCCAAGTTTATGCCGTTTTGAATGATTTTTGTCAAACGACCAAAAGCGAAAGATGGTTTTCGAAGTGTTTTTGTGGGAGAACCGTTTAAACATGCCAAAGAGTGAAAACAAATCATAAAAAGTTGAAAACCACTCGGTTGGTTCGGACGCCAAAAACCATAGCCGATAACCGAGAGCCGAACGCCGGTTTCTGAAACCCGAACGCTGGATGGCTTGGTTTTTGGTTTGGGCGAACACCAAGTGTTTTTAATGACTTAAACAAGTTTGAAAAACATTTTTATAATGTAAGAAATGTAGTGAAAGGTTTTAGCCTAAAGAGCCAATGCGTGAGGGTTGGGTCGGTCTTGATTACAATTATGACCGACTCAGCAATACTAAAGACTGCGGTCTTCGTTCTTGGTCTCTTTTAGCTCTTGTTCTCTTGCTTTCTTCTTATGCTTATTTCTTGCCTTGTATATTTAACAGCTTGTCTCATTCACGGCGGTTTGGCATTATCAAAACCTGTCATAAAAACAAACACGGCTTTAGTACGAAAACGTGACAAACCCGTGTTTCAACACAGTCCAGAGTGGTCTCCCAGAGAACCGCACTTTGGACGACTTCATCTCCTATTATGGGCTGCCTCTTCCCCTTTCTCCCATAGCTTCTCGGGCGGACCCGGGACCTTGACTTTGTCTCTTTTCGTTGTACTTATTTGGATGATAGTAAACTGTTAACTCCTGATGTATTTTTGTTCATGTAGACTCCTTTAGTAATCTAACTGTTCTCTTTTTTGGAATTCTTGTTTCGCCCTAGGACTTAGCAGAATTTTTACTCGCCTAGGCTTTGGGTTTAACCACATTCAAAACACACTGTTCCTCTTATTTACCATCGCGCTAAGTGGCTGGCCCACTTTAATTATGCCGGGCCCAACCCACCTTAGCCCAATGGTAAGATAGCGGAACCCTAGCTCTCCTCGGGACTCCGCAACTGACTCCCAATCGGATAAGCACTTTGACTACGCGTCCCTTGCGCTTCTCCTTTGGGATTACTCGCCTATTTAAGGGACCAGGCTGAACCCTTCCATACCACAATCAATTTCTCAACATGGCTAATAATGCCAATAGAGTTGTCTTCATTGATCTTACTATTTCTGATTCTTCTTCTGATTCTTCCTCATTGGCATTCCCTTCACTTGGGTCCCCAACACCTGAGCTTTCTTCTGGGTCTCCTCTTGCCTCTGAACAATCGGTGACTTCTCCCTTACCTAGGGAAGAGAATCACCCTCATCATCCCCAACAGGTCTCCGGGGATATTCTCCCGGGATCCGGTATGTTTTCAAACGGGGCCAGGACGGAGGTCCCTTCTGGCTGTCCTAGTACGTCCCGTCCGCAGAAGAGACGCAATCCTCACTTAGGAGCTTCCCGGTCGGTCTCTGGTACGAGGCCTCCTTCCCAGGGTCCTTCCTCCCCTTAGCAGTCCTATTGGCAGCAGCCCGAGGAGTGGGGGGACTACGACATGGGGGGAAACAGGCACACCTCTGTACGGAGGGTGAAGGATGGGGCCTTCCGGGATCCGCCTCCTCCTTCCGTATAGGCGGAGATAGGCCTAGAGTTTCTCCCTCATGCCCTATCATCCTCCTGGTCTGACTCCAGAGAGATGACCGGTTGGCGCTGACGGAGGGGATGTCTTCCAACCCCAACCCGTTGGTTCCCTTCCGCATCTTTTGGATGTCATAAAGGGAGACCAGTAGGCGCCTTCACGGAATGTCTGGATGGTCTCCACGGGGAAGGCGTTCAATCCCAACCCGTTAGTTCCATCCTGCATCTTGTGAATATCATTGAGTGTCTCCGGCGGACACTCTCCATGTCTCTCCTGCCTTGGGGTTCTCTTCTGGTTTAGGCAGAGGATCCGGGGTCAGCGAACGCACCCCTTCAAACTCCGGAAGTGCCGATCTGCGTCGGCCCCGGCCTTTTCTCGTAGTAGAATAGAAGTAGATCAAGGACAAAGTTCATTACTGTAACCCAAAAGAATGTAACCTTCCGTTTGAGTTATTTAATGAAAATCTTTATCTCCCGTTTCCTTTTTGTTTTGTTGTCAGATCAGGGATAAGGCCCATTATTGTAACCCAAAAGAGTGTAATCTTCTATTTGAGCTATTTAATGGAAAAAACCTTTATCTCCTGTCATTCAATATAATCTTGTTGCATGTGCCATCGTCTGCATGGAGGAGAAGTCTGAGTCTATTTAACTCCTTACCTTCCACGGACGACATCACTCCCTAAGCGCAGATGGGCCCACTTAATTAGCCCATGCACTTAAGTGGCGAGAGACCTCTGGTCAAACATTGGAAATCTTCGACCGCCTTCTTCGCCAATCGTTCAGTTCTTCACATCTTTTAATTGCTTTCATCAATTCCCAACTATCCCTCCCCCTTTGACTATAAAAAGGGAAAGGGCAATTAGCTGCCGGTCCGTCGCTTTTCAGCTTCTTCGTCATGGCAAATAAGTCCGAGGGCAAAGTCGCCATCGACTCGACCCTCTCTGGGACGTCTTCTCTCCCAGGTGATGAGCTTTCCGTCTCCTCGGCTCAGTCCAACGATTTGGCTGGGTTAAGTCCCAGCGAATTCTCGAGACTCTACCCGGCACCTTGTCTTCCTGCACCATCCCCTCCTAGTCCACCCAGGCTTCCATCCGGAGGAGTTGACTGGGACTCCATGACCCTTCAAGACTTTGCCTTGTACCAGAGGATGTGTAGGGCCAAACTCGAAGGGACCCGGCCAACTGCCGAGGCAGAACCTTCATGTGAAAGTAGAACTGCTTCTCCAAATCGGCCGAAGCCTTCGAGCAATGGTTCTTCATTGAAGGGAGCAGCCCCTCCTCCTTCTTCTTGTTGACTGCATGAATGCAATAGGCCCTCCTTCTGTCCTTAGCGTCCTGCGAATAAAATTTCTTTTCCTTGTTTTGTAACAAAGGGCATTCACTCGCTTGGTCCAAAGGCTTTCCCCTCATCCCAAGCTAAGGAACGTTCCACAATTCTGTAATTTTACTAGGAGCCCTTACTGTGAACCAAAAAATGTAAACTTTGGCCCATCAATGTGGTCCTTAATAATTATTTCTTTGCACCTCTTTGAATGCAAGTACATAATTCATTTCCATATTAAATCTCATCTTTCCGGGGCTTGGGCATGCCAGGGGCATTCATCCAATCTGTCCCTGACCTCCCTCTCCTCCGTGTTAAGGCATGATCTTATCTACCTTGGATCAGTTGAGCTCCAACCCTCGAAGTTTGTTTGCTCGGTTGATCTATGCTGGTGGAATACTAAGCTTCAGCCCTCGAAGTCTTCTTGCTATTCTTCCTGAATTCCGGGTTGTAGTGGCCCTCGAAGTCCAATCCCAACCTTTCCTTCATTTTTGACGGAGGCATAAACTTTTCTACCTCCGGGGGAGGGGGGGGGGCATAAACTTATCTACCTCCCCTATTTTTAGCAGGTGGCATAAACTTTTCTACCTCCCTGTAGCACGTGGGTCTATATCGCCCGGGGGTGTCTCCCCCCCCCCCTTTTTTTTGTTTTTTTAAAGAAATCCATAGAACAATGAAATTGCAAAGACACTTGGCATTAAAAGAAAGAAGAAGTTTTACTGAAATAACATCTTAAATTGAAAAATAGAGTGTTTTTACAAAATGATTCACTGATAAAATTTGACCAAGTGCTCTACATTCCATGTCCTATCAATTTCTTTTCCCTTGGGAGTCACCAACTTGTAGGTACCTGGGCGAACAACGGCCTTGATGATATAAGGTCCTTCGTACTTCTTTGCCAGCGTCCCACCCTTAGTTGGTTGACTTTTCTCTCGTTTCCTCAGAACATAATCCCCCACTTGGAATGCCCTTGGTTTCACCTTGCTATCAAAGTAATATTTCACCTGGTGACGATAATTTTCTGCCCGGATCCGTGCTTCATCCCTTCGTTCTTCTATGAAATTCAGTTCTACGGCCTGATTCTGTTCGTTCACCTCCGGGTCATACTCCATCTCTCTCCCGGTGGGGATTACTACCTCAGCGGGAGCCCGGGCTTCGAAGCCATAAGCCAAGCCGAAAGGAGTGTCACCCGTGGCTCTCCTGGGAGTCATCCTGTATGTCCACAGGATCCTGGGCAGTTCATCCACCCATTTGCTTCCCTCTGAAAGTAGCTTCTTCTTTATTCCGTCAATGATAGTTCCGTTGACATTCTCCACTTGTCCATTAGCCTGTGGATACGCAACAGACACCTTCGTGTGCTGAATTCCCCAAGTTTTGAGGAAGTCTTGAAATTCTGTTTCCTCGAACTGGATTCCATTATCTGATATGATCTGCTTCGGGACCCCAAACTTGCAGAGTATATTGGTCCCAACGAAGTCGATCATCTGCCTTCCGGTGATCCCCGCAAGTGGCTCAGCCTCTACCCACTTTGTGAAATAGTCTATTGCAACTACAATCCACCGTGCCTGCCCCGCTCCTTTTGGTAGGGCTCCCACAATGTCGATTCCCCATCTTGAAAAGGGAATCACAGAGCTGATGGGTGTGTAGTTTGTGGCTGGCCTCCCGGGCATATTCTGGAACTGCTGGCAGGTCGGACACTTGCGCACATATTCTTCACAATCCTTCCTCATCGTTGTCCAGAAATACCCCTGGATAATAGCCCTTCTGGAAATGGAGTATGGACCTTGGTGTGCAGCACATACCCCTTCATGTATTTCTTCCATCAATGCCTTCGCCTCTGCTGCTCCGAGGCATCGGAGTAGAACACCGTTATAAGACCGCTTACAGAGGACTCCATCCTGCACCTTGTATGTTGGCGCCCTCATTCGAAGTAGACGTGCTTCTTGGGGATCTTCCGGGGCTTCACCGTCCTCAATATATTTGGCCAATCGGTCCAGCCACTCTGAGGGATCAGCTGATACCCAGATCACCTCGCTGTTGCTAAGACTCGGGGTTACCAGCTCTTCGACAGTTGCTAACTTGCTTATGTATTCCGGTGATTCTGCGCTGAGCTTGGAGAGAACATCAGCCTCCGCATTCTGGGCCCGGGGAATATGTTCAAGCTTAAACTCAAACCTTCCCAGAACCTCTAAGGCACAGTCCCGGTACCTTTTCATCCTCTCTTCCTTTGCTTCAAACTCCCCTGTGATTTGTCCTACCACTAATCGGGAGTCAGTGTAAACCTGGACCTTGGATACTCCCATCTTGCCAAGAATCTTCAATCTGTTGATCAGGGCCTCATATTCGGCTTCATTATTGGACACGCGGAATTGAAATCTGATAGCATAATAAATCCGGAAATTTTCTGGGGTGACCAAGACGATACCTGCTCCGCAAGATCGAGACCCAGAAGATCCATCGATGCTCATTATCCACCAATCCTTCTCTTCTCGAGTTTCAGCCTGGTTCCTAGTTACCTCCCTGGCAGTGCACTCAACTCGGAAGTCAGCGAGTGCATGTCCCTTGATGGATGGACGCGGTCTGAACTCCACGTTATACTGACTGATGAAGACTGCCCATTTAGTCATCCGGGTAGACGCCGCTGGGCTTCGGGTAAGTGACGCCAAAGGCTCATTGGTGAGCACAACTATCCGATGAGCCTGAAAGTACGGAGTTAATCTTTTCGCTGTCCAGAAGACCGCCAACATGGCTTTCTCTGGACGGGAATACCTTAACTCCGCATCTCTCAAGGTCTTGCTGATGTAATAGACCGGATGTTGAGCCCCATGCTCTTCTCTTACGATCACAGTACTTATGGCGCAGTCCGCGATTGCCAAATACAGGGTCAGGATATCTCCAAGTTCCGGCTTGGATAAAACCGGCGGATTTGAGAGATATCTTTTCAATTCTTCAAATGCTTCCTGGCATTCCTGTGTCCATTCGAAGGTCGCCCTCTTCTTGATTACTGCAAAGAATGGATGCGCCTTCTCTGCCAGCTTCGAGAGGAAATGATTCAAGGCTGCCAATCTTCCTGTTAGCCGCGGAACTTCCTTTGCTGTTTTCGGGGGTTCCATCTCCATGATGGCTCTGACTTTCTCTGGGTTTGCCTCAATTCCTTTCCGGCTCACCATGTGCCCAAGGAATTTCCCGCCTTGAACAGCAAAGGTACATTTCTTCGGGTTCAGTCTCAGATTTACCTTCATCATGATTTCAAAGACCTCTTCAAGGTCCTGGACATGGTCTCGGGCCTCTTTGGACTTGACAATCATATCATCCACGTATGCCTCCATGGTCCGTCCTAAGACAGCCCTGAACACCTGTGAAACCATTCGGGTATAGGTTGCCCCGGAATTCCTCAGCCCAAAGGCCATCACCAAATAACAGTACAACCCTTCTGGGGTCATAAAGCTTGTCTTTTCTGCGTCTGCCGGGTGCATTCTGATCTGATGGTAACCACTGAAGGCGTCCATGAAGCTCATTAACTCCGACCCGGCAGTCTCATCAACCATCTGGTCTATGTTGGGAAGTGGAAATGGATCCATGGGACATGCTTTATTTAGATCTGTGTAGTCGACGCACATCCTCCATGAAGGAGGCTTGGGCGCTAGGACTACATTTGCCAACCAGTCCGGGTATTACACCTCCCGGATGTGCCCGATGCTCTATAAAGTCACTACATCCTTCTTCATGAAATCTCTCCTTTCCTGTGATAAATGCCTCCGTTTCTGCTTCACCGGTTTGGCATCCGGTAGAACATTCAAACGGTGAACTGCAATCTTGTGATCCAACCCTGGCATATCAGCTGGACTCCATGCAAAGACCCTTCTGAATCTTCTAAGGATAGAAATTACTCGTGACCTTATTTCAGCCCCCAGGCCTTTACCAATCCTGACCAATCTTCCTGGCGTGCCTGGCTCCAGCTCCACTTCTTCAATGTCGCCAGCTACTTCTACTTTGGGACGTTTCTCCTCGGCCCTGAGGAGTTGCACAGTCACCTCTCCCACCTGGGTATCGTACTTGACCGGCTGTTTGGTTGCCTTCAAATACCATGCCCAGGACACTCTCTTTGATCCCCTGGCAATTCCAACTCCGTGGGGGGTTGGGAATTTTATGCACAGGTGAAGAGGTGAGATGACACACTCCAAATCTTCCAATCCGGGTCTTCCGAGACCAGCACCTTGTTGACCATTGCCGCATTTGCCCACTTCTTCTGGCTTGTGGCCGAGTCCCCACCAGTATTCCCTCCAATGATGAAATTACATCCGTGGTGTCTTTTCTGACGATGCGGTGCGGGTTCCGAATCCTCCTCTTCGTCTTCAAGCCCGATGTGGCGTTTCTCCCGGGCCTCAGCCTGGGCCACTTCCTTATCTCTACGTTTCCCCTTCTAAGTATTCCCGGGATTCTCGGTGTCACCGTCTTGTACGAACTTCTTCAGATGACCTCGGCGGATCAGCCTTGCCATCTCATTCTTCAGAGTGTAACAATCTTCCGTGTTGTGATCATTCTTGCGATGGTAGGAAAAATTTCGAAATTATATGAAATTTTCGAAATTTAATATTTCTTTAATATCACAAAATATATAATTTATATTTTAAATATATTCTCTATTTTTTTTTTGAAATTTTCGAAATTTTAATATATAAAATTTCGAATTTTTTTAAAGTTTCGAAATTTAATCTTTTATTTTTTTATATCAAAAAATATATATATTGAAATGTCGAGAGAGTCCGGTAGAAGGTCCGTGGATATGGGCGCCGTGAACCAAAGTTCGAGGAGAGGCAAAGCTAAAGCCACCTCCGACGGTTCGACCTCACGCGTTTCTCGAGGAAGACACTCCGTCTCTTCCTTTCCTACTATCCCCAATCACTTAATCGGGGACGCTATGACGGATGAAGAATTCGACCAGATTTATTCTAGTAGAGGGGACGCAAATCTCCCCACTCTTGATAGTGTATTCGAAAATCTTGATGAAGCAAATCTGGATAATCTGGATGGGGACGAGGAGCCTACACCGCAGAGCAACGACGTTGACGTGGAGGCAGGTGAGCCCGCGACCTCTCGAGGTCCGGATAAAGGTAAAAAAATATTAATCAGAGTTATTTGTTTATCATTTTGACAAAGAAACAAAAGATGGCGTAGTTTATGGAACTTGTAAACATTGTGAGACCGTCATAAAAATGGGAGTCTCCGGCGGTTATGGCGGTCCGGAAAAACACCTAAGGTCGAGGCATCCCGTGGAGTTTGCCAAATACGAGGCAAAAAAGAAGGGACGACAAGAAGTGCAAACCTAAATTTCTCGGTTTGCTAACAGAGGTAAGGGCGGCCTTTTTGCTTATAGCGACGAGCAAAATAAGCAAAAAATGGCCGAAATGATTTGTGAAGAAAATTTGCCATACATGTTTTCTGAGAAACTTGGTTTTATTGATTATTGTCAACATGCATTAAACCCTCAAGCACGAGGTTTTTCAAGAAAAACAATTAAACGAGAAATTATTCGTCAGTATAAAAATGGAAAAATAAATTTGGCAAATTTTTTTCTTAATTTTAATTCTCGTGTTGCTATTTGTTCTGATATTTGGAGTGAAACTTATCATAATTTGTCTTATATGGGTGTTACTTGTCATTGGATAGATAATGATTGGATTATGCATAAACGTGTTCTTGCATTTCGTGATTTCAATGAACATCATACTGCTGAAAATATTTTCCTATTGCTTCAGAGTATTCTGCGGGAATACAACTTATCTGACAAAGTGTTTTCATTTGGTTTTGATAATGCTACTAATAATACTGCAGCTATTCCTAGACTTAGAGAAATTTGCCCACCATCTACGTCTATGGGTAGATTTCTACATCAACGGTGTGCCTGTCATGTTTTAAATTTATGTGTTCAACAGGGACTATAAGCTATGGGCGGAGTTTTGACGAATATTAAAGAAAGAATTAAAAAAATTTGGGGGACTCGTCTTGTTTCGAGGTCTTGGAAGATGTTCTGTAAGTCTAAAGGTAGAAAACAAATAGTTTTTGCCAAAGATATCCACATTAGATGGAATAGTACATACAAATTGATTCATCAGATTCTAAAATATAAAGAGGAACTTGCTGAATTTTTTAGAGATGAACTTCGTATAATCATTGATCCTTTTGAATTTGTTATTGTTGAAAAATTGAATGCCGTATTAGAAGTTTTTAATAACGCGACTCTTACTTTTTCTCATGTTTACCAACCAACTACAAATACATTTTTAAAAGAGTGCGTTACAATCGCAATATGTTTTCGTGAAATAAGGCTGATCCGGATTTGTACCCATATGTCTCTCCTATGATACAAAAATGGTGTGCTTATTATTTGTACATTCCTGATATTTATAAAATAGGTATTATTTGTGATCCACGCTTTAAAATTGAAAATTATAAAATTTTAATTGAGTATTACTACAGTTGTTTTTTAGATGAAAATAGTTATTACTACACTTATTTAGTAGAATGGAAAAAAGAAAGAGATAATGCTGTAAGTTTTTTTGAGAATTTGTTTGAGGAATATCAAGGGTTATACGGCACTGTACAAGAAGAAACAGCACCACCTCCGCCCCCGAAATCAAAAAAAGGTTTTGCCGGAATAGTCGGTGGTCTTCTTGCAAAGAAAGGGAAGCGTGCTCATTCTTCGACGAGTTCTAGTGGTACAACAGTAAGCTCGCACAACGAACTCGCTATGTACCAGGGTGTGCCATGCGATTACGATGAGGACGAAGTGGATTTTGACGTGCTCGGATGGTGGAAGCGGAACGAACACATGTTCCCATGTCTCGGCATGCTAGCAAGACAAGTGTTATCCGTTCCGGTATCAACTGTAGCAGTTGAACGAGAATTCAGTGCTGACGGCAACATTCTAACTGACTTTCGAAGTTGTCTTAGCGCTGAATCTCTTGAAACACTTGTTTGCAACCAAGATTGGCTCTTGGCAAGACGTCGAGCTCAAGAGTCAACGTACCAACTCGAATTAGAGCATTACATGAATGCAACAACAGATGGAAGTCCGAGTTCTAAAGAATAAGTTTTAATTTTTTTGTTAATGTAAATATGTAATTAGTTTTTTTTAGATGAGCGATATATAAGCTCCTCCGAGTGTTTCTTTACGGTTCTTTACCTCGTCGCTTTTTTTGAACCGTCAGAATATTAAATGTGGTTGTTCTTCCGTTAGTGTATTATTCATTTAAAATATTTAAATAACAACCACATTTTTAGATTTTTTATTTCATTCTTTCCTTAAACAATTGCAAATTTAAAATTTTATACTTAAAAATTTTAAAAAAAAGGAAAAAAAAATAGGGGGGGCCAAACCGGCCGGTCCGGTACCGGAACCGCCGGTCCGGGAACCGGAACTGGAACCGGCCGGCACGGTGACGGTTTCGGTGACATGGGGTGGCGGTACCGGAACCGGCGGTTCCGGAACCGGAACCGTACCAGAACTGTACCGTGTCCACCCCTATATATATATATATATATATATATATATATATATATATATATATATATATATATATATATATATATATATATATATATATATATATATATACACACATAATAGTTAATAAATAGATTAAATGGTTATAAAATGTTAAAATTCCGGCGGGCCGAGAACAACGGATAGAGTGTTGGGTAAAATTAACCACCTGCATATAAAGTCGGGATCCACAATTCTAACCCAAAAGTTTAAGCTGATGGGTAGGGTTTCACCGTTCTATATATGCTAGTGATACTCATCTTTATTTTTCGATGTGGGAACTCCAACACTCCCCCGCAAGTGGTAACTAGCCTGGCCTAGTCAGCACTTGGACAAATGGGTCTAGCATCTCAATCTCTTATAGCTAGCCCACACAACGGGCGGTGACATCTCAATCTCCTTTTAGTCAACTCAGCCCAAACCACAGACGAGTAGCTCATTTTTGCTAAACCCACATCCAAACAACCAGGAACAATCAAACCCGGACCGGACCTGCTCTGATACCATGTTGAAACAATAGGCTTGGGCCCAATTCAATCTCAAAAGTTAACTCAAGAGGTTGAGGTACCCAATCTATTAAATAGCAGCACAATATAAGGCTGCATAGCCGATGTGGAATGAACAAGTCAACACGCTCCCCTCACATGAGGCGCAGATTACTGCAGGCGTGGTCTAAACATCAATGGCTTGGCTCCGATACCATGTTAAAATTCCGGCGGGCCGAGAACAACGGATAGAGTGTTGGGTAAAATTAACCACTTGCATATATAGTCGGGATCCACAATTCTAACCTAAAAGCTTAAGCTGATGGGTATGGCTTCACCGTTCTATATATGCTAGTGATACTCATCTTTATTTTCCGATGTGGGAACTCCAACATAAAATATTTTAGGCAAAGTTCACAAGAACACCCCTAGAAATTACAAGTTTTACATGAATACTCCCAAATTTGTTTATTTACATAGTTACTCCCACATTTGTCAATTGTTTACGTCGTTACTCCACGGTTGCTTCATCATCGGTATTCCTCGGGTGCGTCTTTTTATACGGGGTTCTTAATCTTTTCTTTATTGAATTAAAATTAAATTAATATAAACAGATTTGATTTTAAACATTTAAAAGATTTAGGAAGTTTAAAATTTGAATTTTTTTGAAAAAGTGATGGGAAATAAGGGCAATGATCAGGCTTACTAAGACGTGAGAAAGACGATGGAGAGAATAAATTGAGCTGAAATTGGTATATAAGAGTGGAAAAAAATACATGTCTGCATTTTAACTGTTCACTTAACGCAAAAAAACACATCCAAGTAACACTAATGATCACTATCAAATTTGGGAGTAATTATGTGAATAAAAGAGAAATGTGGGAGTAATGATGTAAATAAACAAATTTCGGAGTTTTTATGTAAAATCTGTAATTTCTAGGAGTATTCTTGTCAATTTTGCCAATATTTTAAAATCTAAATGAATTGAATGTTTTTAAACGGACCGAATATATTTAAATGAATCAAATTTTTAAACGAACCGAATATGAATCTTAAAAAATATTCGACCCGAATACGAATACTATTCATGAATATTCAATTCGATTCAGTTCGTTTACAACCCTAGGAAGGGTATGCTTGTTGCTAAAGTCACAAAAATGACTAAAATTGCAACCAATGGGTTTTAACCAAGGTTTGTTTTTTCATAAGTCATTGACAATTTTTAGTTTCGAGTACATAATTAAATGAATCAAAGTGTTAAATTAAGTTTCCCTTACTTTCCATGAAGTTTTGGGTAGAACATGCAAAAATGCAGTTAGGGTGTAATGGAGACAATTTCTCTGTTTTTACAAGGGGTAAAACCGAGTCCATTTTGCCCTCATAGATACCCAACGAAACTGGAATTACTTCCTCCGTCCCACTATATTTGTCCACTTTCATTTTTACACACTATCCAATACACTTCTTTAATCCATTTTATCTTGTAATTTGTATATTAAAAAATTATAGAAATTATATATTAATAATCTATATGTTAAGACAAATCAAACAAGATCACGCATGACTATATTTAGGCTTACACATTGAGAGAATTTGATGAGTCAAAGTGCTTAGATGAACAGTTTCAAAAGTCAAAAGTGGACGAATATAGCGGAACGGAGGGAGTACATTGAGTTGGTGTTTAACCTCAAAAAAAAAATTAAGGACTAAAATGTCAATTTACAATAAAACATATTCTGCCATAAAGAAGAAGAGTATGATGCACATGTAGAGGAGGTGTGCAGAGAGACAGGCATGGACAATTGAGAGGCTTTATCAAGGCCATAAAGTCTTCTAATCTAATGTGAAAAGGCTGGCATTTCTAAAGAATAGGACTTTTCATGGGGCAGTCCTATAAAGATAGGATAAAAAGGAAAGGTGTACCTAATGGTATAGGACAAAAGGAAATAGGCTTTGGGGCCTCTGCCCCAGAGAGAAAGCTCGGACATAGACAGGATTTTACACAAAACAAGTAATTTGGGGGAACCCAACAGTGCTTTTGGCGCCATTATAAACACCTAAAAAAAGACTTTTAACTTAATCTAATAAAATTGTGGGGACTTTTTTGATACAACTCTCTTGTTTCTTTATAAATAATTGTGGGGACTTTGAACTTAATTTAATAAAAAATCTTTAATTATTTTCACCGCTTAGTTGATACTTGGTCCGTCCTTGAGTGTTTGTCCACTTTTGACTTTTGGAACTGTTCATCTAACCACTTTGACTCATCAAATTCTCTCAATGTGTAAGTCTAAAAATAGTCATGTGTGATCTTGTTTGATTCGTCTTAACATATAGATTATTAATATATAATTTTTATAATTTTTTAATATACAAATTATAAGATAAAATGGATTAAAGAAGTGCATTGGATGTTATACAAAAATGAAACTAGACAAACATTCAGGGACGGAGGGAGTAAATAATATAATCATTTCACCTCTTATTTTAAAGAGTTTTTTGTGTACTCCTTCTATTCAAAAAAAATCTTCTTACTTTCCTTTCTTGTCTGTCAACAAATTATCTTCTCATTTTTATTTTTGGCATGTTTTTATGTGTAAAATGTACTCCTTGCCCTTAAAATAAATTATTTCTCATTTCTATTCTTTAATGGTGGAATTTTCATGATATTGGAATCTCATGTCATGAAATAACTTTGAGATACTCCAGTGCCCCGTTTATAAAATTAATGATCCGAACACACACCCTCACCCCTTGATTACACCCCAAGTTAATTTTGATTTTGGAGTCAAATTTTGACTCTAAAGTCAAAATTAACTTAGAAGTGCAATCGAAGGGAATAAGGATGTGTTCGGATTGGGGTGTGGTTAGGGAGTAAGAATCTTCAACTTTATGAACCAGGCACTCGAGAATCCCATAAATTTATGAACCGTCCTCATTCTTTAATCACACTTTCTTCAAAAGAAAAAGAAAGTGTGAAGTGTTTTAAGAAAAAAATTGGAAATAATTCTGACGGCATTTAGAAAAAAAACAACGAAATCTATTTTTTTTAGGATAAAGCTACTTGTACCCCAACCTTATGTACCCCACAGTTTTGCACCGACATTTTGTGTCGGTGTAAAACATTTTTTGTTAATGCACCAACACTTTGTGCCCGTGAAAATTTTTGTTAACGCACTAACATTTGTGTCGGTGCAAACCAGCAAAATGTTTGTGTATAACTATGGTGTACAAATGGGGTACAAATTTTGGTGTAAACATAGCATGGTCCTTTTTTTTATTTTGACGCAGTGTCCGTGTAAACGGGAGGGCTCGATAGATTGAGAATGCGATAGATTGAGAATGTGTATAGTAACCAAACAGTATTACGCAGACATTTACTATACACTCATCATTTACTGTTCTCGGTCTTCTTCAAGCTGTAACTATCTTAAAATCTGTGCATAGGTTATTTTATTTAATCCCAAAACAAATTTATTTTTAAAAACAGTAATTAAAAAAAGGGTAGTTTTACTTTTCCCAATTGCACTCTCTTACCCATCTTGTCACCACACAAAGCCCATGTTTGGTAAGAGCACTGGTAATGGTCATGAAGCCCTGGGGCTTCAAACTGGGGCTTCAAACTTTCTCTCTCTGCCACGTCAGCTTTAACTTACACCCAAAATTCACTGGAAATGGTTTTGAAGCCCTGGGGCTTCAAACTGGGGCTTCAAACCTTCATTTTTTTACATTTTTAAATATATATCTTCTAAATTTAAATTAATAAATTTAAATTAATTTATTATTTTAATTAATTGCAATTACACTAGTGCATAAAAAAAATAAAATTCATTATAAAAAAATCTTACATTCATCGTCGGAAGATGAACCTATTTTTAAATTATATTTTATAAATATTTATAATAAATAATAAATATTTTAGAGAGAATATAAAGTAATAAAGAGAGATGTGTGAGATGTGTGTGAGAAAGATGGATGAGAAAGAGGGATTTTATAGGTTTTTTTTAAATTTGGGGGGGGGGGGCGGCTGGGAAGGGGGGGGGCGCTGAAAAAACGCTGCAACGCAGCGTCAAACTAATGACGCCGGAAGTTTCACGCCCGATCACGCCCGGAGGGGGGCGGTGTTTCACGCCCCCGGGGCTTTAAACGCCTGTTCACGCCTGCAGGCGTGAAGCCCATTTCCAGTGCTCTAAATGGCGATTCACCTAGCATTTGGCATTTTTAACTATAAATGGCGGATTGGACTAGTTAAACCGCCAAATTAATTGCGATGGCTTTTGGAAATGCCATTTAAAACCGAACCGGCAAAAATTGAAATGCCAACTCTAGCAGCATTTTACTTAGCGGTTCACCTCGTTTCCGTTCTTACTTTTTTCTCGGTATCGCGTCTCTCTGCGATCCTCATGGCACCGAAAGTGGTGTAAAGTATTTTTTATCTATTTATGATATCATATTTAAAAAATTATAAAATAAAATATATCAGGCATGGTTGTTATTTGTAGAATGATAAATGAGAAAAAAAAAAATCTACTTATAAAATATAAATGTAAATTCTCATTTATTAAATTAAAAAAATGAAGTAGCCTTTTTTGTTCACCAAAAAAAATATATGATATCATATTTAAAAAATTAAAATTGGTGTAGAGTATGTTAAAAATATATGATATCATATTTAAAAAGTTATAAATAAAATATATCATGCATGTTTGTTATTTGTACAATGATAAATGAGAAAAATACAAAAAAAATACTTATAAAATATAACTGTAAATTCTCATTTTTAAAATTAAAAAAAAAACGAAGTAGCCTTTTTTGTCCAACAAAAAAATATATGTAAAGTATTTTCTTGAATAATGTGTGTATTTTATCAAATTAAAAAATTTAAAATCATACACAAATAAACATAAATGGAGGGATGTCCTAATATGTAATTTTACTCACAAACAGCTAACTATAAACCATAGTTTTCAGAACCGGACCGGGGATCAAACCGGTCAAGGTACTGGTTCACTGGTTTACTAGTCGGGCTGGTGGTTCAAGTGGTCGAACCAGTGGTTCACGCATATTTCTGGTGAGAATGACTCTTAGTAAAAAAGAGATGAGAATAAATATAAACCATTGGATTATAGCATCTGACGACTCCCCATTAAAAGAATTAAGAGATTGCCATGCTATTTTTATGGAAGGTAATAATTACTTGTGCGAAGGAATATGCATAAATTGACATGCAGGGACAATTTGGTAATACAATAATGCATTAAAAAGGCAATGAATTTAATGCCTCAACTGCTAACACCTCCACCACTCGCACGTACAATAGCCACCCAAATCATTTTCAACGCTACATAATTTTTTCCCATCAATACTTTTTGTAATATTAATGTTTTCCCTTTTTTATTTTGTTTACCATTTTTCTTCAATAAAAATTAATGATAGATACTTTTTGTTACTGCATTATTTTTATATTATATTGCTCATTTGTCTTTCAAAAAATTTATTGCTCATTTGTTTCATTTTAATGCATTTTTCACGATGCAAGAGATTTATTTATTTATATTTAAATTATGCTCTTGTAAAATGTGGACTATACTTACTACGTATTTTTCTACTCCGTATAATGTATTTGTACAATTTATAGAATGAAAATATGGACCATAATTATTATTTTTTGAAAAACATCCGGTCCATAATTTTTCTGTGTTCTAAATACTAATCAATCATCTACTTTTTATTTTCCAACACTATTTATGACAGTCATTATGAATAATCATAAAATTGTTGTGCACTTGACAATAATTTTAGTTAAAAAAGTCAATAGTGTTTTTGAACTGTTAGTTTGTTTTATTTGTATGCAATGTTTACATATATAGCTGCAACACGTATTGTATATTATGCAAAGGTGCATTATTATATACACGTATTGAAAATTTTACATTTTTTTTATTATTTCTTAATAAACGTGTCAAGTCAACACGGGAAGAATATTTCCGAACGGAGTGAGTAATTGTTTTATCAATATGCACCATGCTCGTCTATAGCTGCAACTAAGTGTGTTGCATGTGCTATGAATGCCAAATTAAATGAGATTATTCACGTGCATTCGATCTTCATTACTAAGGAGGTGAGTTTATGTTTGTCCCTTACATGTTGTATTATAATACTCCCTCCGTCCCTAAATAGATTACAATTTTTTTTCTCTCCTCTCGATAACTTTTGTTTGTTTACGCGATTTCATCAAGTATTTGATAAAATAAAATATTCTTGTCACCTCTTGTTTTGTAGAACTTTTGACATAGTTTTTTAATATGTAATTTTTATAGCTTATTGATATACCAATTTGTAAATAAAATAATTTCAAAAAATATGAAATTTTACTCCGTAACCCGCAATTTGTAATCAAATTGGGGACGGAGGGAGTATCTTCAAGTGAGTCTTTGTTGAACTTCTCCCCTGGCTTGAGTGGTAGCAAGCCCACTCCCCAGGATTCATGGGGAAATTCACCCAGGTTCGAGCCCCAGCGAAGGCAGCAGCATTGGCTCTTTGTGCGTCATTAGTCATTAGCTTGAGAATAGTATGAACAGATACTACCTTGTAATAGAGTCAATAGCATTAAAAAAAAAGTGAGTCTTTGTTTTTTAAAGGTGTTTGTATTGCACTCATTTAATTTAATTATAATACACAAGTCTTTATTCTCATGTGAATATGTTTATTTTTCAAATTATTTATTTTTTTATTGCATATCCATATTGGAGTGTGTAGTAAAAAGGTTCATGGTGTTGCATAATTAATCCCATTATGTGTGTTGTTGCATATGCTCATGTGTTCAACATCTAGTTTTTTTTGTTGGTGCATAAACCAAGATAAAAACATCAAATAAAAATTAAAACAAAAAGTCTAAATCTAATGGTGATGAGATTGAATATTTCGTACAAAAACATCATTACTAAAAATTTAACAACAATATAATCAATAATTATTTAAAAAAATCCATAATTTTTTGCTTAATAGTCCAACATATTACGTAGTAAAATGCATCTTGTAACTTTTCTGATGAATATCAAGAATCTATGTTATGCATTTATGTAATCTCAGTGATGCATATCAAATCTCTATGTTGGACATTGAAGTACTATTATTATAAATCAAAACTAAGCATATAGATTTTCCTAAATAGAAAAAAAGCAATGACCCCAAGTAAAACTCCCCAGAAGATCCAACGTAAATATTCTGGCCAAATTGAACTTGAACTTTTCACCGATCATGTGATCCATATTTTATTTCCCAACATAAACAACTAAAATAATTCAAAGATGTAATGTTTTTCATATATCTCCCTTGAACAAAAAAGCACAAAGAAGTTACTGGAATATATATTCAAATATCAATTTGTGAATTAAGAAATAGA